GACAATATTAAGGCGTAGCTTCGCTGCTAATTTACGCTAGAAAGGATTGAATTCGTCTGCGGTGGGAAACGGCTAGGCGTAATGACGCGTCATCGCTCTCTCGATTCTTGCTTCTTGTCCTATGAAGCGGATCCTCTCCGAATTCCGAACCCCGTTACTTTTGGAATGCTGGACTCTGTTTCCGTCCAGAGGAGAGGCCCCTTGATGGGGAAATCACAGAATTTGGACCCCGAAGGACCCTCGAATCCATGACTGCGTCATCGTGGAGCGGAATTCCCTTCCGAAAGTCTCCCTCGTCGGCTGCCCTTCCGAACTTGTGAACCATTTTTTCTTCTGTTATTCCTCTTCCGTTGCCGGCGCGATACGGCATCTCAAGCTTCTTCCAAGCAGACTGTCGTTCCGTTTCTTATGAAACGGTGGAAAAAACGCTCGAATCAGTTTGCCTACACGACTTCGACGGTCACAAAACCACCCGCAGAAACCACGAATCCTATGCATCGCATAGTTTTTGCAAGAGTTACAGTCTTACTGTGCCCGTGAGCGGGCCGCGTCGAGCTGCTGCAGGCGTCCGGGCGAGCCTACGACTAGCTGATCTGAATTCCCGACATTCCGACCGCCGACTAGGTTGCTGAACGTTCTAAACGCAAATCCAGAACCGACTGCTATCGATGCAGAGTGCTAACGGCCAGCCGACGGAACGACAAACGAACCATGCAGCGGCGGCGGCGTCACTGTATAATGGAGGGAAAAAGGAAAATGAAACGAAAAAATGACTGAGCCGAAGAAACGACGTTGGTTTCGTGCCCGAGAGCCGCTTTCAATTACGAATGATTATGGAAATCGTACTGAGGGTATTGATTGTGATCGCACGACGATTCGCGGTCGCTCCCGTGGCTTCTGTTGATGACGAGGACGACTCCGACGACGCCGACGTCCGCGAGGAGTTCCATCGGCTGTGCGTTTCAATGGGTTGAATCAATTCGAAGTGGAACAGGTATCCCGGACGCGCACGTACTTGCGATCCGTCTACGCTCTACGCGGACCCGAGCGAAGTCATCATTTCTCGAATTAACTTGAATAGGAACGAGCAACTTTTTTTTCTATTTTCTCATCAAATTACAATTCTCATCTTCCATCAGTAACGAGTCCGAGCGTTTTTTTTTCATTTTCTCTTCTCTCTCTCTTAAGGATCCGAAGTAGAACCCGGAGCGATCCTTTCCCGCTGCTACTGCTGCCGCGTCGCCGTCTTCGGCGTCGTCCTGAGCCGGCGCACGGTCGGGGAGATTCGTTCAACTCGATATTTCGCTTGAAACAAGAAGTGACACGAACCATCTTTCAAAAGTGGTTAACGCCGCTAATGCGATGATAAGATATCAAAGAGATTATAAATTTACGTCAGTAGAATCCGATGAAAGCGCCGCCACCGCCACCACCGCTGGCGCGTTCGTTGTAATTGATGTTGTAGTTCTATTTTCGGCTACTCTCTTCGGCTTCTGAGCTTCTGTATCATAAGCTTGCTACCGGTGAGGTGTGTCCGAAATCTAACGATACGAATCCGAACTGTCAAAAGAGGCTCCGTGGCAGGTTGGATTCGCCGTAATGACGGGTTCGGCATTGACGGAAGCCTCGGCAAGTAAGCAAGCCGATGGATAGACGGACGGACGGGCGAGCGAGCGAGCAAGCAAGCAAGCAAGCAAGCAAAGCTTGGAGTGAGTGAGAAAACGATCGAGTGTGAGGCAAGAGTTCGGCAGACGGACAGGAGGCAAGCGGCCCGCACCCCTTCACCTCCTGAAATTTGACAGAATCTCTCACTGTCGGTGACTCATCAGAGACGATGGCATTTAGTCGCTGCTTTCAGCTTGCAGCGGACAAATCCATTCGACATCAACTGTCATCTCGGCGACGATGACAGTTCACCACGCTACCGTCCCGCAACCTGAACCCTTCAAGCATCGGTGCCAAAAACACTCCGCCGGCCGACCGCACCATTCAATTTGCCATACCAATCAACTGTCGATGGTTATCTTCGAGCGTTTATTCAAAAGTTTTGACAGAACTAGCACTTTGATGGTATTGCTGCTGGAGACGATAGGCATCGCCACTATCACCAGCTCCGGAAAGCGAAGGCATGAGCGCGTGCGGCATCCTCACTCCCGACCGTGCTCCTCGGTCAGCCTTGCGAGGAACTTCAGCCGCATGCAACGTGCGAATGGCTTGCAGCTTAGAGCAGCTGGATTGACAATACGAGCTCGTTTGTCAACGAGGGGCCAGAGTGAGAAACGATTAAAACCCTTGGCCGCACGCTGGAACTCGTCCACCAAGGCGAATTATATTCCATTCATTGAGACCAAGCTATGTAGCAGTTTCTGTCTCACTCCACGGTAATGTAATCAGTAATCAGCTTTCGCATCTGATATATTCGGTGCGATGAATGATTACAGTCTGATATTATTCTGATGTATGAGACCTTCCGCGCCTTCAAGCTTTTTTGCTGGCAATATTCCTCCTCTGGACGAATCAGAAGAATTATCCGGCGGCGATTTCTGACTTCAACACTTGATCGAGGTGAAGCAGATATCAGCAATCTTCAAGCCGTCGAATCCATTTGTGAATGAGTCCCGTCCCGACTCTCAGATACACCGGCTGATTAATTACTCCGTCGGCGGGAGTGGACGCTCCTCCGTGGTAGAATTCGATATCACTGAATGCGGTGTATCTCCACTGAATATTTTCACGAACATCTGTTATGACGTCATTGGAGCGCCCTACTTGACCGGGGTCTGGAAATACTGTCGTAGGTTCCTATGCCCATTCCGCGTCCTGTCCGTAAAAACCCACAGAAACAATGGAAATTCTTGGGGACAATGGTATCAAATCCCTCGATATCTCACTGAAACTGCACGGGAAGTGTTCAAACGTCATAGGCGGACATGGCAGGGACGCTGTCGGCATCGGAGCCTGGAGCCACCGGATCACAGTGCGAAGTCAGTGACTCCTCTCTCGAGGTACAGATTCGAGAAATTCTTGTAGTGTGTCATCAATAATTATTATTAGTACTATTTAGACATTTAGCTCTTGGGACCCAAAGATCGACGACACACGTTACCATTAGTCGTCCGCATGGGCCACCATTATTGAATCAGGTAAAGTATAGCTTTCACGACAACTTCTGCGCCCGACCGGTGTCACCAGTTTTCGTTAGCTCCTCATCGTTCATGACCATCTTCTCACCGGGAAGAGAAGCTCGCTCGGGGTCCGTGTTGCCATTCTGTTCATAAATCCTCAGAGTCGGATACGTCAGATATTGTCGATTGATAATATCAGCCACACACCACGACATCCTCACGAGGGGCGAATGCTAACCGACATCGTTCACGACAAAAACGATGAGAAAAATACCATTTATACCGATCGCCGACTTATTCGGCTCCCGACCGTGATTCAGGAGGAGGCTGATTTTCATTCATGATTCGATGCCTTTTCGAAATGAAATAAAATAAAATCCGAGACTCCCGAAGCTCCATCACAAACTTCGATGCATATTGAAAATTCCGGTTTGGATCCTGGTCCACGAGCCAATGAGTTTGTGGATGGCACGGGATCGTTTTGAATGAAACTCATTTCACTCGTCCCTCTCAAATATATCATCGAAATGAGCGTCGGCATATTTTTAATGAGACCCGTATTAGGAGCGAAACGAGCTTCTGATTTCTTCTGCGGGACTCTTTTCGTTCGGGCTCTGTCTACAGTGTGAGTACCGATGCTGTGAACGGAATCGACTTCCATTTTTAGGGCTCATAGTAGTAGTTGTAGTGGTGGCAGTAGCAGTGGCCGCATCGGTAGCGGCAAAGTCGGTTCCAGCGGCTAGTGAGAGCTAGTCTGTGTACGTGGAGTTCATCAGCATCAGGAGGAGCGCTCCGTTGACGCATCAAGTGCGTCGACGGGACCCGAATAATTTCAATGATATGCGAATGGACGAAATTGGATGGATGGACAACCAAGCGATGGACGGACGGACGGACCGAACGAATCAACGAACGAACGAGCAATAAGGCAGCAGCCGCTACGCAGTCGATCGAAGATCCACAAGCGATGGTTGTCGTCGCTGCTGACAACGATCCTCGAAAAAATCACAGCCCAAGTTCGAGTGCGATACGCGGCAACGAAGTTTGCCAACTTTGTCACAATTCATCCGTTCGTCAGATCTCCATCTGTCAGTCAGTGAACCAAACGAGCGATAGACTCGGCCGAGCAGTCTGTCATTCCGTTTGTGGGCGCGCGCTCGCGCTCTCACTGCTGTTTGTTTGTGTCTAGAAGTGTGTCGACGCGAGCCGCGAGTGCATCGTCGTCGTTGCGGCCGCCGCATTGCCGCCGCTGTTAAAACTAATCTTTTTGTTGGCAGCGTGACAGAGTTTGAATTTTTTTTCCTTTCCACAGAATCTTTGGAAGAACCCAAGGAAAAAAGTCCCTCCGACACAAGGACTAGTCGACTCGATGACGTAATTCGCTCCAGAAGCGATTTCTCCATCGGTCGCGAACGAGCGATTCCAGTTCGAGCTTGTGTGAGCTTCCCCGCATGATTGGCGGTGGAGTGACTCTTTTCTCTGACGAGCATCAAAAGTTTCGAGAATTTCACTCCGGTGCTCCTACAGCTGAATTCCGAAAGCCCCCTCAGGATAATCATTCCGAGATTCCATCTACAGTACAAACTCGATTATATCACACTCGATTATATCACCCTAAAAATTTCAAAACTCGATTATATCACCCTCCTGATTTTCTCGCCACGACTCGATTATATCACCTAAAAAAGCATCCGAATGCATTTTTCCGAATGTCCCATGCCTGAAATTCTCAAAAACTCGATTATATCACCTTCACGACTCATACCAATGTCCCCGTGTATCAAACCTGGCATCGGCTTGATGCCGGATGCAAACATCCATCCAATCAAGAAAAACTCTTTTCGATAACGATAGAGGAAACGTGGATTCGAGGCACTAGTTCGTGCCCATTGCAAAAGCAGCGGCCCGCAATCGGGCAAGTCGAATTAAATCGGATAAATCGCAGTTTTGTTGCGATTCGAGCCACTGCAAGGCGGTCTGCAAAGCGTCCGCTGCTTGCGCAGCGGTCGGGACATCCGGCGGAGGAGAATCGTCCTCTTCTTCCTCTTGTGAGTCTTCCTGCGTATCGGCTCCTGACTCCCCGTCGTCTGCGTAGACTGCTCGAACCTCCTCGACGATTTCGTCATCGGTGAGATAGTGATGCCCAGTATCAGTGGAGTCGCAAGCCAACCACTCCAATATGTTCTCCGGATCGCAATCCATGAATCCAGGGACCTTACGGAGTTGCTCCCCAAGGATCACAGGCTCGACGAAATCTTCGATAGCATCCGGAGCGCAATCGACCTGCCTCCAGGGCAAGACTTTGTTCCAAACATTTGCAGAGTAGTGGTCTTAACAGATGCCCATGCCTCGGCCAGCATGTAGCAACAATCCTTTAGATTGATGATCTTGTTGAAATCTCGCATTAAGGCGTTGTTCCCATCATCGAGGGCAAACAGTCGAATCATGATTTGCTTCCGGTACATTCGCTTCAGGCATTCAATCGCGCCTTGGTCCATGGGCTGAAGAAGCGCGGTTACATTCGGAGGCAAAAAAATTACGACGAATTTTCCATTCTGTGTCGGCAACATATCGATCGGCGGATGGGATGGGGCATTGTCCAACAGCAGTAACACCTTGCCTTCCTTGCCGAGAATCCTCTGATTCTCTTCGACTTCGCGAATGAAGACGTTCTGGTACCAGTCGAGAAAGATCTCGCGATCCATCCATGCCCTCTTCTGCGCTCTGTATTCCACCGGAATGCGAATGTTCTTGAAGCACCGAGGGTTCCGTGATTTACCAATGATCAACATCGAGATCTTGTGACGACCTGTGGCATTAGCGCACACCATCGCGGTGACTCGTTCTTTGCTACTTTTGTGCCCTGGAGCCGTCCTTTCATTCCGAGCTGCCAATGATCTGCTGGGCAAGGCCTTATAAAAGAGTCCTGTTTCATCCGCGTTGTAGATGAAATCGAGATCGAAAGCTCCGTCGTGCAGGAGACCATTGAATTCGGACACAAATCGTTCAGCAGCTTCCACGTCGGAGGACATCCTCTCACCTTGGACTTCCAATTCTCGGATCCCATGGCGGTTCTTGAACTTTCCCAACCAACCTTGACTTGCTTTGAACTCAGGGTCCCCTCCAAGCTTCTGATTGAGCTCCAGAGCTTTCTGGCAAATGATGAAGCCAGAAAAAGGAAACCCGAGGGTACGCTTCTGTACAAACCACTTGTACAAAGCCGCTTCGAGCATTTCGTCTTTCGCGGTTTTCATCACCTTGTGTGAAGCCACAGTTTGGCTCGACGAATGATGAGACTGAAATTTCGGTTATCCGCCGGAGCCGTCGTGGTCGTCTCCGTCTGCTTAGACGGTCTGTACTCGAGTGTCAGTTCGGCGCCGCTCAAGAGGCTTCCTCGACGTACATTGCACGTCGGGGCTGCCCTCGCACCTCAGCGAACCTCACAAACCACGACGTCTCTCTCGGTTTCTCTTTATTGAAGCATAACTCTACCTAGGTATGCGTCACACCTTGACGCTCGTTGATGCTCCTTGTTCTGTCACAGACTGGCGAAATTCTTTGATTTTCGAAGCATTCTTCTTGATGTTGGATATTGTGCTCCTGTCGACTCCGTATCTCTCGGCCAGAGAAGCTTGAGTCTCGCCTCCTTCAAGCGATTGGAGGATTTCTTCTTTCTGCTCGAGGGTCAAAACGGTTCTGGTCTTCCTTCCGATCATGATCACGCTCAGTGTGACACAGGTGGATGATTCACGTTTGAGGGAAAATCACAAAAATCAGCAACCGAGTTCCCGGGGAATGGAGGGGCACGCAGCTCGGACCGCTTCAGTGTACCGAATGAAACAGTCGCTCGGCTTCCAGGAGCGTTCTTCCTCTTCTCGTTGTCTCCGGTCTCTTTTCCGCCGTGCGACGAATGCTTCTCAGAGAATTCAGAGCCTCTCAGACGATGCGGAGTCGACCCTGATTTTCTCTGCCGACAGCAAAAAGAAAACATCCCCCTCATGTTACCTACCTCTGACTGCTTCTTCGACGCCTCGAGCTCTTCCAGTGACGGATCTCTATCGGGTTCGACTTGCTCTAGCCGATCGGTGGAGCAGAATCAACCAAAAAAATAATTCCATGACTCGAGAGATCACTGAACAGATTGAGATCATGGCTGGTTCTATCGGTGTGATATAATCGAGAGGACGGTAGAGGGTGATATAATCGAGTCTCCATTTGTTTCTATGGAGTTTGTATCCGGAGGGTGATATAATCGAGTCGAAAATGTGATATAATCGATTTCCCATGGAAGTCTATGGAAACTCGATTATATCACACTCTCGATTATATCACCATTTTTGGACACGAATTAGGTGATATAATCGAGTTTGTACTGTATGCGTTTCGTCTTCCACAAGCCTTTGATGAGGACTCGAGCGAGAATTTCTCACCGGTTATATGAGGAGAATCATTAAGCTCCGGAGCCGAGAGCGTCAAGCAGCGCTGGAATCCTCCGCGGAGCAGTCCTACATATATTTATTTTCGGAGTACGTATCCCTGCGTTTCTTAGGAGTCGTCTCCAACTTGTCTCGGTCGACGAGCGTCGTACAGAATCGGAGCATGGAGCGACTGGGCACCGGCGGTAAGGAGCAGCGAATCAGGAACAGCAGATAAGCTAAACCCGCCGAAGGCCTCTGCACGATATGAGTCCGATGCTTCTAACGAGGCGATTTTTGGACAGTCACACACAGAGTGCCAGGCGAATCGCTAGGTCTATTTCCTGTTGTGGTAACGGCAACTTGCCGGAAGCATGCCAAAGGAGATCAGGAGTATACGGAGATCCACTCCTACGAGCAAAGGTATCCGGACGTGGTCTGCGCATCCTCTGCGGGGTCCGCGAAATTCCGGCCGGACCCCTGATCGTTGTTGAAATTATTGTTTTTCGATCGTTGACGACGGCTGCGGTATATCTCCCAACGATGGACAGTCTGACTGCTCAACCAGGTCGTCCGCGCGGATGCAGTCAAGTTCATCGATCCCAATAGCTTCCCGAAGTCGGAGCACGTACAGCCAAATCCCAACGACGCAGAATACGTTACTCCATATGTAACAGTACTTCTCGAATATCATGAATGCGGTGAGGGCGACGCCGACGTCGACCGCCGCCAGGCTCACTAGTTGACTCGCTGGTTTGCGCGAAGGAACGGACGAGCAAACTATAAAACTAACATAAGACGCTGAAATTACGGCTCATTGACGGAATTATGAAAATTACTGCGATGAGCACCAGAACATGTTCGTGAGAATGCACTCACGAACCCCGGGGGAATTCGTCCGGGAGGTTCTGGTCGTTTCAAAAGTTAGCCGGGGTGAATTCCATCACCTCGGGTCAGTCGGGAATTCTTGCGCCGAGAGTGAAACTTTTGCCGAATGAATCGACTCCGATTGAAGTATAAATCCGGCTCGGGGATGATTTAGGTGAAAAATCCTCTGGATTATGGTAGATAGCGGATTCTCCCATGTGGTCCTCAGTGTGCGACGTCGCTTTCCGATGCCGACGCGATATCGCTGCAGCCGAAGAGAACGAATCGATCTGAAAGCTCCAGGACAAACTGAGTGAGTTATAAAGCTCTACAACAAGCTGCAGAGAAAAGCGGCAGTTGAATTGTAAGCTCACAAAGAACGCGTTGAATTAATGGCAGACTGCGATGTCGGAGGCCGGCTGTCCGAGCGGCACATCACAGTGAACAAGCGAGTTGCGGGGGGCTGCTGAGCATGTATGTCCTACCGTTTGTATGCGGAATAATGTCGGAGCTATGAGCTGTCGGGTTGCGATCGTCAGACGTCACGCACATCGCTCAACAACGCCCTCTTTTTTTGAGCTTTTCTCATCTGTTGATGTCCTTGTTTGTGAGAAAACGTTCGCTCCTCCATTCGGATGTCGTTGGTGTACCGAACGTGAAAGGACTCATTCATTGGAATCAGTCGGAACCACCTCGTAGTCGTGAGTTCACTTTTAGAGTTCACCCAGCCCGATTCCTTTCGGAAATTCCCTGCGACGGCCATGCGTTGAGGAGTCCATCCCTCCAAACGGGTGAACGAATATATGGATGAACGAGCGAAGGGGTCCACGGAGGGACGAAGCTTTCCAATTCGCTTCTCCCATCCCAAAGTTCGAGCTCCGAGCCGGGGCGTTCGCGCGCCCCATCCACTTTCGCAATCCGATCTCGCAATCGAGGACTCTTCGTGAGAAGCCCCGAGGGCCTACGGAGGCTGAAGTTCATCGACATTACAGTTACCACTGTGGCAACAGGGAGAAAGCTCATGACGGCGGGAGGAGGAATGATATCTTCGAGCTTGTTCCTTAGCTAGTCGGTCGCTGTCGGAAGCACCTTCCTACTTTGTGGTTCCCTCCGCAGTGCTTTGAATCGTGGCGGGCAGAAAAGTCCAGGCGAGAGCTGCGGAAGAAGAAAAAGTTGAAAGAGGCGACTCCGCCTGGCCAATTCAGATGATCGATCCTCCGGAGCGGTGTGCACACTCCTCGGCAAAATCCTTCCATTCCGTCTCTCATCTCTATTTTAACTCATCGTCACTCCGTATGAAAGAAGACTGAGATTGGCCGTGTCCTGCCTCGTCCACCTCGTCCGGCGAGAAAAATACGCTCGCGTTATGTAAAAGTGGAACTCATGTGGACAATGAGCTCGCACGTCGATGCATTAGAGCGCTTAGGAAGGCACGGACTGACAATACGTTGCCGCGTCATCCCATGCGTGACTCGACAACTGATAACTTTCGTGGCCGCATTTTCTTTTCTGACGATGCCCTCCTCTGATTCCTTTGATTGGTGATGGAGCCGTGGTCTTGCTCAGTATTCCACGGACACGTTCCGGAGAGATTCCCGGGAGAGAACGTCGCTCCCATCTCGGTGCATGTTTGCGTGTGTTTCGTTCGTTCGCGCGATCCTCACCGAATGAAGAAAATCATCGCGGAAGGGAAGAGCCGCAGGATCGGATTCATTTGAGCGAACCCAAGCCGCTGAGTGGATAATTGAAGAAAAAGTCACCACCCTCGCCCGGATAGACATTTAACGGTGTTTAATGAAAGCCATCAATTACGCTCATCTGACACGGGGAGCTCCTCTGCTTTGCCTCTGGGATTCCTTCAGTCTGAGGAAAGTTCGAGCTTTCATCGTTGCCGGCCGGCCGTCTGCTGATTGGTTCTTGCCGGATGGTGGATACTGTTGTTCTGCTACGCACCCGTCGTTTGCAAAGCGTGTGGATGGATACACGCACTACTCTCTCACCGGACGGATGGATGGTTAGTTAGTGACGGACCGACGACGACGGACGAACGGACGGACGGACTCACAGCCAGACAGAGGGACCGACCGACCGACCCAACAACCGACGCACGGACAGACCGGTTGACAGACAGACCGACAACTAGTAAGATGAAGATGAATGAACCGGTGGTGCTTTATGACGACGAGTGGAGCGGCGTGAGGGAAATTGGCGCTTTTTTTTCTGGGTTTCCCTACAACACCGTCATCACCGGCTGACAGACTGGCTGACTCGGTCGCTTCGACGGATGGACGGACGGTCTGTTTGCCTGGCGTGGTGCTTGGTGCACTGATCGAGAAAGTGAAACCAACGAAGCCACGAGACCGACCGACCGACAGACCGATCGACCGAGCAACCAAGCAAGGGATAGACGGACGGACGGACTGACTGACTGACAGACAGAAAGACCGTCAGTCGGTCCCACCGACCGACCGACCGACTATCCGGCGAAAGAGTGCTGGTGGTACAGCGGTCGTTTGAGCCGCTGCTTCCATCGTAGTCTTTGTAGTCGAAGTCGACTTTGCCGGTAGTGTGGTAGTAGCGACGGTGAGCTAGAGAAGACCGGCTGACCGAGCTGAGGACAGACACGTGCCTGATGCTGCTAGATGCTGCACTTGTCGAGCATTGACCCTCCTCATGTCCTTCTCCTACGTCGCGTCATCGTTGCCGTCGGTTCCTCTCTTCTCAATCGTCGTTGTTGTTGTCATCGACGCCTCCACGTTGTCGACGACAGACTGACCGGCCGAGCGAGTGAGAGGGCCCACTAGCCAGAAGGCAGACAGGACAGAAAGTAGCGACGGAAAGACTGGGTGTCGAGGACGACCCGCAGGGATCGGAGAGCACTTCATGCCGATTGACGTGATTGGCGGTAGCGATTTCTGTCTTTGCGACAACTGCTCGAGAGCAATCGTTCCCTCATTCCACTGACGCAACGACTGAGAAACGTCATCATGGACCCGGGACCGCGGAACGGATTCCGAGCTCCGGGAAACGAAGGAGGGGCTCCATCGGCTGTAGTCCCAAGGGAACGGTTAAGGAAATAAAAAGATTCCTGCGGGGAGCAATCTTGGCGATAAACGCCTGACAACACCATCGGTGCTGCTCCTGGAGAGCACGGAAAGAATTGAGAGCGGGGGAAACGTAATCGACTTAGTCACCCTTCTTGGAGAAGTCGACGTCAACGCAGTCGGACTCCATGTTTCGAGGCGGAATTAGAGGAGAACCGAGCAGAGACGCTATTTATAGGTTGTTTATTTGAATCGAGCTCCATTCAGTCGCCTGAAACCGTCCTGCCCGAGCGGGAAATGAATAATTGTATCCCGATTGAGGGATCGACCAGGGTATAGGGATTCGACTTCCCATCTCAAGCACAAATAGATCATCCGAGTTGCTCTTGA